ATTTTTTAAAATATAATCTTTTTTACTCTTCTATTTCCCTCAATTTAAATATACTATTAATTATAAAAAAAAAATCTTAATTTTCCTTAATGGCAGTAGGTATATAGCATTAGTATTGTGAGGTCTTTTATTTTCTAAATTTCTATATTTAATTTAAATTTCCGATCCCGCCCAATTTTTTTTTCTTCAAAAACACTAGGCGGACAAAAACAGATAAAACAAAAAAAAAAAAATACTGTAGAAATCACATAAACCGCAAACGCGTTTCCGTAAGTTTTTATATGAAAAGGACAAGAAGAAAACTGTCTCTTAGGATTGAAAAATCCATTTAAAATAAATGTGAAAATGTTTACTAAAATTATGTGGTTTTGAGATTGAGTATTGCAAATTTTTTTAAATCACGACAAACAAACATTACTTTCAAAATATAATACTATGAAATATGGTTTTTTTTTTTTTAATTTGTACTCTAATTTAGGTGAAAGATGTAAATATTGATTTTGTTTTAATTAATTAACTAATTAAAAGATATTCACATTATAATAATATTAAAATAAAAATTACTTTTTTATTTTGTAATGTAAATTAGTTAAAAAAAACAATGCACTTATTGTACTTTAATATGTATCCTTAAACAAACCTTATGAAATAAACCAAGGAGATAAAAGAAAATTAGTCATTCCCTGCAATTAAAATATCATAAATAATAAAAAAATTAAATATCCTTAATCACTTCATGAATCAACATTCAATAAAAATTTATTAAAAGTATTTAAAAATTTTCATAGGTAATAAAGTGATATAACCTTCTGATTTTTACTTTTTTTTAACAAGTAACGCAATTCAAAAAAAATAATTTACTTTTATATATAGAGGTAATTGTTCCAACTTTATATTGTCCAAATCATTTTTCTTAATTTGAGTCTTTTACATGAATTGGATTTAAAGCTTTTATATAGTAATGCATGCATAACAATACAAAAAGTTTCTTTCAATATATATATATATATATAATGAATAATGATTAATACAGTATTTTGTTTAATACACTACATAACATATATCAATTCAACTATTAAAATTTATTTTTAAAAAATTTTTCTTCATAAATTTAAAATTAAAAATAATAAATTTTTAATAAATGTATTGAATCGAATGATATATCAATCCTTTTCAATATATAATTCATGGTCTATCCAAGGATATATGGTCCCATCATCTAGTGGTGGTGCGGGTATGAAGGGTTTTTCATTTGGTTTGTTCATTGTTCCCGTCTTTATTCATGAGTTGGACCGCCCGCGCACTTGTCTAAGATTGGTTTCCAGTGGATATGTCCCGTCGGTGCGAACATATGGCCGAGGCAATCGCTTACCATTGGCCTCGGAATTTATTGTTGGGTCTTCCATCACTAGTCACTACTTTGTTTTCACCAGTGCATAGGGCAGAATGGCATAACTAAGAGCTATCATTGTGTGGAGGCCATGCGTGTTGGAGATAGCTGGGGATGGCGCTGCATGGCAAGGGCAACGAATTTTCAACCTTAGTAATATGATTCCAACTATTAAGGTGTTTGGTTTGGAGTGTGGTTAACAGTTTTATTTTTATTTTTTTATATTAATAGTACAATGGAAGGTAATCTTATTCCTCATCTTACTCTATTCACATGTTATACGACTCGAACTCAAGACTTCTTATTTCTAGTGGAAGGATATAACCACTGAATTACTTAGGTCGTTAATGAATGTGGTTAACAATTATTAATTGTTAATTCTAATAAAATAGATTAAATATTTTTTTATTAATTTTTTTATATTTAAAAATACATTGAATTCCAACTAATTTATAATTGAATTACATCAGACCTCATAAGTGAAAAAGCTCTCATTATATCTGTTTTTTCATTCATAAAACTTGAATTCGATCTCTTATTTAATAAGAACAAAATCCCTTTCATTCAGATCAATATCTTGTTGATATTAAATATTTTTAATTTTAAAAAATAATTATTATTAGTCATCATATGTCAACAATCAACTATTAATTATATTTGAAAAATTAATCCAAATGTGCACTATAATTAAGAAAATCTACTCTACATTAATCCATTTCAATTTAGTTTGGTTTAGCAATAACCAAAAGGATAATGTTGAGTTTCTTGCATTTTTATAGGCTTATCCTTTTATGGTTTATTGTCCAATTAAGGTCTCAATAGACAATAGTCTTTGACGTTGATGTTACTCGACCCTTAATTTGTGGAGGTAAGACCCAACATCTCAATTTAATCAGTAAAAGGAATGTTTTTTCCTCACTTCCCCTCTATTCCCCCAATCAAACGGATTTTTAGTGTTCTTCTCCCAGTCACAGAGTAGACAGAGAGATTATCACTCCTCCATCCACCTAACCAGCCTACCCCTTACACAATGGTTAAAAAAAGCAAAAAAAGAGCACAGAGTGCTTACTAACTTAAGCCTTAAGCTTAAGGTTTCTCGTCTGTTACGTAAATGTATTTATAGTTTTTTTTTTTAATTTAAATTAAAATGTAAAAAAATATTTAAATATTCTTAACGAATTAACTTATAAGAAATATTCTTTTAAGTAATTTTATAGATAATTTTGACATTTTAAATATAATTATGTTCAATTTTTAATTACTCAAAATAACAACTATTGGTTGTTTTTGTATAAAAAGGAGTAGGATTAACTTACATTAGTGTAAGTTTAAGAACTATTACATTGGTTTTCAACTACATATTTAAAAGTTAGGAACTTTG